GGGTTCGATTGAACACAAGATGAACACCAACACCCACCCACACCCATACCCACACCACACCCACACCCAGCCACACCCACACCCACACCCAAACCCACACCCACCCACACCTAAATCCACACCCACACCCGATACTGATGAACAGATGCATTGTTCTTCCAATAGGAAACGGTCTGTTCAACATCCAAGTGAACTATGAAACAGCAATTCATACACCTAAACGTAATCGACTGGAGATGACTGGTAACAATACTGGATTTGATTATCATTCTACCCAATCTAATCGGAATCAACAGGAAATTATAAAAACATCAGTATCGACAACTAATCATTCATATTTCAATACGTACCATCAACCTAAGAAAATTTCCAATGACTCATCAGCTCGTTTTCGACGTGAGTCATCAAGACAATCCTTTCCATCATTTCGTATTATATTGCGAGATGTTGATAAGTATCCAACAACAGAATTAAGTGTAATTAAGGAGCTAAATACGAATGGTTAATCCATCTTATCCTTATATGTTATTTGATTGTTCATGACAATGTAACACGCACAGTAGAGTTTTTTTTCCTTGTTCTGCACGTGAACGGTAGAAGATGCATTGCTCACATTATAGGGGGTTGTTGTTACTCATAGAACTAAAAAAAGTGCGCGCAGTTGAGAATAAGGAGGTGCTCATAATTGGAGGGCTCATTTCCAGCAAAATTCTCTCGGGCGGACTTTGGATCCTCAGTATAATGCACCCTTGCATCTACTAGGCTCAGATCTTTCCACCTTCGTTTTGGCACACTTCAAATAATTTATTCTACAATTCATCAGGATCCATCAGAATCCACCAGAATTCGCTTTTCCCCCCTTGCCCACCCACCCACACCCACACCTACACCCAGCCACCCACATCCACACCCTCGTGATAAGTAAAGAAAGTTACAACTTTTCAGCTAGTTAAGTTTCGTGACTGTACGCCATTTGGAATAGACAAAGATTTTAAATGCAATTATCATACAACGAATCGCAATGCTAATCGAACATGTTGAATGAAAAAATGTGGTATATTAGTTCATTACTACTTCCTAAAACTACAATTTATTCAATGAACATATGATAACAAAAAAGAAAAGAAAACAAAAGTTTATTTATAGAACAAAATTAGTAAAGAAGAGTTTTGTCGTACAAACACATATACCAATTATACAATAGAAAATAAGACCAATGATCCATTGATAGTATGTAAACATATTGTGTCGAATGAAGAAACAATATATGCATCCAATACCAGCTAGGATGTAACCGCATGGATGGATAAACAAAAGTAGTATACGATTATCTGGGTAATTACTCGTATCACTGATCTAAAACGAATCGATTTATATAACAATTAGCATATCTCTTAGTTCACTATTCTGGTCAGTTTATTATGTAAATCTTAAATAAATCTCTAATAATTTGATTAATCCTCAATTTAGACAATATTTAGTTATTGATCTTGATAGACTTACCTTATCGACAAAAATTAATTGCCATCTCTCAGAAAATATGTATGCAATTATGGTAAATATCCAAACAAAAACATAACCAAATAGATAGACAGATGTTCGATCATATTTTTTGAATACTATCGGATAAAATTCATTGATATGTCGAACTACAGAAGGTTGAAATATACTAAAGAAAAGGTTTGTTTTTATAAGAGCATCCGAAAATAAATAAGTCCAAATGCAGATGAAAATATTAACAAGATGATTGATCAAGATGAAAGATATAATAAATGATAAGAATGAACGTTGATTTAATATATAATTGAACCAATTCCAAAAATAATCTCGTTTTTTTGATTGATCATTTATCCGAATAATTGTTTTCGACTAACAAAAAATAATTAACATCAATTTTATATTAGACGTAAGATGAAAGTATTTGTACTTCAACTTTCTGTAGTTTTTCAAGTAAAACGTAAAAGTATAAGTACTCTTACGTATACTTGGTACTTATACTTAAGTACGAAAACAGAGTACTTCGTATTTTTATTAGAGATATAAATAAAATAAATTGTATAAGTAAGATTGAGTAGCTGTAATAAATTTTCGAAAACTGCCATGATATTCTCGAATTACAACATAAATGACTGCTGAACTCTTTTTTAATGAAAATTTTCAGTCTAATATAGCAATAAATTCACTGTAAGTCACTTGAAGATATTGTCTTCTTTGATTGTTTGGATTTCTTCAAAATCTGTCATGGGCATGTCTAAATAAATATCCCCCTTCGATACCATGCCCATACTGAATATAGTTTTTCATGACAATAAGAAGAATCTATATGAATTCAGATCCTTGGTTTGCGGTTAAAACATCGAAAGAAATTGAAAACTATGATAATCATTCTAGCATTATGAGTAACTATCAAAATTTCAACGAAACCAAAAGAGCAGTGGAATAAAAAAACAGAGGACATTGTTTCGAATTTAGGTATAAGTAAAAAAAAGTATTTGTCTCGAAGTACAAGCATTATATACTTCTACATGCGGTACGAGTACATAGCGCAAGCACAAAAAGTATCGAGACAGGTTTTATTAAAAAACAATAAGAAGCATTGTTGTATTGGTACTAGTGTCTGTGTGTAGTTCGTTCAGTCCTCTATTCGTAGACATCATCAACTCAGTTGAAATACACAAACCTACGGCATAAAATATCCAAATAAATTTTAGATCATTGTTTATACACTGATAGTAAATTAAAAAAACTGCAACAAAGTTTTATGTTTTAAAAGACTAGTTGCCATCCAATATTTATGAATACATGGTGATAGTTTTACAGTGATATAAGTCTATCACATACTACGATATATGAATGGGTTCGTCGTTCTAAAGATGAATAACTAACTATTAATGATAGTTCTAAGTATAGTGGATATGTTGTTCACATAATATTGGAGAATGTTATATTTTCATGAACTGACTTTAGTTCTATATAATTAATCATATCAAAATATTATGTGCTGTAAATTTGAAATGCTAATATAGTGACCGTTATTTATCCAGATGCGATTCGACTATTTTCTATCATCGTGTTTCTAAAAGTTTTAACAATATGTTATTCACATTTATAACAATTATACTATTTACATATCAATTATTACTAATGTATGATAATTCCTCTTCACAAAAACGATTCCATTTGAAAGTTGTAGCGAGTGATAGATAATCGATCATCATGAACTGACAATATATATATATATATAATATATTCATAAATATTAAATGAAGCATGACCTTCCAGAGGAAAAAATTTTATTAGTGATCGATGCTCGAAAATTTGATTTTCTGTCAGTACATAAACAATGAACTAAAATGTGTTTCGCTATTTTCGTATTTTATATATTCTCAATACTCACTTCTTTTTTGATCCACATGTGTAAACATGAATCGTTCAATTGATATGCAAATGTCGACATAAGTAATGATCCAATACGGTCAATGATCAATTCAGGTTTTAATATATAAAATTCTTTTTCATCATTGGACAAATATTTCAAAGTAAATGAAATACTTGATAAATATTTAAAACTATTAATCAATTGTATTATATAATTCAATCGTCCAATTGATACATGTAATCGTTCGATATATGGAAAAAGATGACAAAGTTGATGAATAGTATATGAATCATTAATAATATGATATTCAGAAATTGTTAATGTACGAATTTGTTCGAATTGTAGACCCTTAATTTTTTGGAGAAAATCTGAAAAATTTCTTCCAGAATTTTGAAAATGTTCGTAGGTTATTTCTGTCATCAACTAAAAAATTAAATTTTATCTCATACTAAAATGATTGATCATTGAGAAAATAACTTAAATCTTACAGTATCAATTGATAAATTTTGAAGATGAGGCATATTATTAAAAAGATATTTGATGTTTGACTTATTCATCGATGTATTTAATGTTAAATTTTTCACTCCAATTAGATTAACAATAGCCGAAAGAATTTCTACGGAAATATATTTACATCCAATCTCTAATGTTGTAATATTCATAAAGCGATGACAAGTGTCAATTAAATTATAATTTAATGTTAATTTTTTAACATTATCATAGAAGGTTGCATTTTTTAAAATGGTTGTATATTCTGGTGGTTGAAAGAGTTCATCGACATGTTTATACATAGAACAAGGTATTGTATAAAGATAATTGTTGTCATAAGCTACAAACCAATGTTTTTCTTTTATCCAAAATGAAGTTCGAAATGTATCAAGAATTTTCTCGATCGAATGAAGCGTGATAATGAATATAAATTTCAGTGTAATCCAATGTTTTGCTAATAATGCCCATTGATGTCCATTAGTAAGATCAATATGACTCTTTGTACATAATTCGAGATGTTTCAAACGAGGAAAATTTATTAGAAATTTTTCTATTTCATTCATTGATACACGAAAATCTATAGTTCACAATACAAAAGAATTTGTTAAATGTCAATTTTTTTGTTTCATTCAAACAATACTCACCATCAATTTGTAGAACAAGTCGAGTTAAATAATTAAGTTGACATTGAAATTCAATTTTTGATGTTTGATGTATGACAGTAACGTTTAATGTTTTAAGTTGTGGTGTTGTCAAGCAAATAGTTTTTAATTGATCAAATGAATAACGTAAAAGTTTTAAATAGCGAAGATTAGCAAATGGTAGAGATAGTGGAATAGTCATTTCTGAATTCAACAACAATTAACAAAGATGATTGAGTTTATTTAAATGTAGATTGATAATTTCTAATGATTTCTTTTGTATTTGTATTAATATTAAGAATTGAAGATGAATAAATTGATCGATTTGAAAATGATATAAAAAGACTTTAGATTGACCAGGTGTATCTTTGTCATCAGACAATATTAATATTTTAACTTGATCAGGCGATATATGTTGACAAATAAGATCAAAATCAGATCGACGAATTGATTTGAAATTGAGTCGATAATTGGAATATAATCTGATTACATTATTCAGGTAAGGACTAATATTCAACAATGAGAATAAGATCTCTTCAGTTCGCAAATATGTAAAGAGTGTATGTAAAACCACAACAGACAATCGATCTAATAGAAAATGAACCATGATACAATAATCTAAAAATATAGATCGTATAATAGAAAAAAAATTAATTAACTGTAATACAGTATATGTTAATCACAGAGAACATATAAATAACTTTCTGTAACGTTATGGTTCTACAATGAAAACGAATCTCGAAACGCATATTTTGTCAGATATCCTTCTAAAATACAACAAATACCCATTTACGAATACCTAAGTATTACTTGAATGAAGATCTATTATTGAAAAAAACTAGAGAATTGATCGTAACAATTAGTTGAGCAACATTTAGGATAAATTCTATAGATGAGCCAATTGGCTATGGACTTGATATGCGTTTAGAAAGGTATATATGTCAATTCTGGGTCAATTACGAGGAAAAACATTCATTCGCACTCATTCAAACGGGTGTAAATGTCCGAATAGTTTTTCTTCCTCTTGGTTTTCATTTTTAACTGACCAAGTATTTCGAAAAGGATGAAAACTAAATTAAAGCAAACTTAATGCTAAATTGTGTGTTTAATGTAGGTAATACACCCGTGGACAAAAGTCTTTCCTTCACCTCTTTTTTCAGCAAGACTTTCTCTACTATTATAAGGACAAAACATGGTGTTGTTCGGACCGACTAGGAGTTATTAGGGGTCCTCTTTTATATAGGAAAACCTTGCCGAAAAAAGAGGGGGGGGGGGAGACTTTTGCTCACGAGTGTATATTTAGTCTGCCTTTCAGGCATCAACAAAGATGATTTGAAACCAATTAGAATAAACCAATCATAAGAATATTAGATGACGCCCCAACTCGGAGCAAATAAAGTACAATTAATTCAACTTATAAAAATGATAGTGGACCTATAACCATCTTTCAGATAACAATCCATTAGTTCGATAGATATTCACAACTAGGATCCTCACCATAGTGTATGATTATCCATGTTTAAAATGACAATTTCATTCATAAATTTTCGTAAATAATGAAAGATCTGTTATCAGAAATTTTCTCTATACGGGTGTGGCTGAAAATTAAAAAAAGCAACACTCACACCCACACTCACACCCGTGATCGACTAGCAGTCAAAAGTCTTTATATATACAATTAAATATTTATTTATTATTTCCATTGATGTTATATGGATAATTATTTTCTTTTCTTAACATTTAATATCGATGATCATGAGGTATTATTAGTTGATATAGCAGACGAATGATGATTTGTTGCATTTGCTTCAAGTTGAACATGTGGATCATTGTGTAATTTAGACCTATCATGTTGTCATTTACATCGACTAATGTAAAATAAAAAAAGAGCCATAAATAAAAAAAAGTTCGCGATTTATTCTTACCGACATTGAAACCAACGAGAAAGTTTCAACTCGTCACGTGACGAGTTGAACAAACATAAAAAATCAGACCTTTCGTAACACCAAAAATAGGGATATCCAAAAATACAGGGATGTCGTAACAAAATTTACAGGGCGATCGTAACGATTAACACAGGAAATTCGTAACAGTTGCAGGGCCTTCGCAACGAAGCAACAGGGCTTTCGTAATGAGGATAAGGGTGATAGCTGGACTTAGTTTCCAGAAATTACATGCTTTTCGTTACGAAAGCCCTGTAATGGTACATATCAAAACATGCATTACGATCGCCCTGTAAAATTTGTTACGAAACCCCTGATTTTTTGTTACGAAAGCCCTGATTCTGTCGTTGCGAAAGCTCTGTTACGGGCTTTCGTATTGTCAATTCGTTACGAAAGCCAGAAAACAAAAATCGTGACGAGTTGAAATTTTCCCAAACCAACACTAAACAAAGAAAAAAAAATAGATCAACATAAAAAAAAAGATTTTATTACTTTAATTTGTCGTTCAGTTAATTCAAGGTCACGAGCAATTTCAACTCGTCGGTGACATGTTAAATATCTATTAATATTCATAAATAAATAGAAAAATATTCTTTTTTCTTACTTGTTACAATGAAATTCTATTTCTAATTCAAGTAGTTAATGTTTCGTATAACCTTTTCGAATAGATTTACGTGCAGAATTAAATTCTATAAAGAAAAAAAGAAAGAACGACTTCATAGTAATCATAAATAAGCAAAATAATAGTACAAATGTTAATCATTTCTATAAATTACATTTATATATTTTCAATACATCATTTTTCTCAATCAACTTTTGAATATCTAGTCTCATTCATGAATATTCAGTTTTAGACATTGAATTTGTAACTGACTTAGAAAATTTTAATGATGATATCATATTATTAACTGATGATGAAGCATCATTTGATCCTGGCGCAAGATCATCAGTAGTTGATTGATATTGTTCATGATGGGATGTATCTGTTTGCATCATATTCAAATTTGAAGATGTGTTCATAAATGTTGAATCTTTATTTGTTGGTGATAAGCTGCAATCAGTATTCATTGTCTTTGTAATATAGAGAGATAATTAAGTAACAATATTGTCTATAAAAAAAATTCACATACATGTTTGGATCAATTAAGAAAAACGTTAAATAGGTATATGAACATATTTTAAATGATAATTGAAATTATTGTTGGGTATGTTGGGAAGAGAATAATTGGAATGAAACATTCTACTCGTTTGTGTTTAATTCAAAGAATGATCTAATACATACAATATGAACTGAAAACGATCAGACCGAAATTGCTCGACAAATGTCCTTGAATACGGATATGACGAATGATGGTCCATGGGATCGGTCACTTCTAGCCATTCGCAATTTGAGAAAAGAAAAGTATCTGTCCAATAATCTATAGCGGTTATTGACCTTTAATTCTTCGTTTGTGTGACCTTTTCACCGAGGATTGACCTTCTCTCTTTGCTCTCTCTGCTGTGTGATTACATCCATATAAGTTGCATTTCATTAAAGAAAAGACATAGTTGTGAATATGCATATGATACAAGACACCATCGTACCGAAAGCCATAGGCAGTTATTCTCACAATTCATCATATAACTAATCAATATTTTTCTTTTGGTTGATAGACAATGTGTCTATTCTCCCGTTTTTTTTCTTCGAAGAACGATTATTCATTTTATCATTACCCGATAAAGGTATATATGTAGTTTCCATAGACAAGTATCTTTAAAAAAGAATTGATTCAAAATTTCTACTCTTCATATTGAGATGCTTGAAGTATCTTTTGATATTAAATGATGACGATAAAGTTAGCTGATTCAATCTTCAATCACTTGGTCTTTTGAGTGGAAAATTTCAAACTTTTTTTCTCGCATTGATATGTAGAGATCGGATATTTTGCGTTTGACAATGTCACATAAGTAAAGTTAAGAAGACCTTAAAA